CACTTATCCATTATAATAAATACAACCGCCTGCTAACATCAAATGCGAGTAAGGAGAGAGGGAAGAAGAGATACAAACTGCACTACAGCACTACAAACAACCTCCCTCTTTAAATACAAATAAATAAACAGCATTTTTGAACAGATTCTTTTCACCAAAAAGGTCAAGAAATTCAAAATATCTCACTTTCATCAGCGAGGTGTGAAGATATTATAAGATACAAAATTTATGTCATTGAGTCAATATAGCCAAAGGGTGGAAAAGCAATTAGCAACCATGCAAACCAGACTGCTTTAGAAGAATTTCTGAATTTAACATTAAGTTGTTGAATTTCCATCATTTTCTTCCACCAAAAAAACTTGAGCAGATAATCCAATCTTTAATGTAAACATAACTGCTAAAGGTTGGCATGCATAAGTGTTGGCACAAATTCAATCATCTATTCATTGAACAATAGCTTACAAACTATGTAAATATGGAAAAAATGACTAAAGTTTAGTTAACTGCGACTTTGAAGGAAAGAGAGCTAAAAGTAGGTGACTGGGGCACAGCCAGACAATGACAAATGAGGAAGAGGTTAAAATGTCACTTTTGGTTTATTACTGAAAGAAGTCCAAATCTGTGAGTAAAAGCTTCACTTGTGACAATCTCTCCGCTAATGAATTCCAACTGTCAGTTGTCAGTCGACGTGACCTATTTACTTCCTTGAACATAAAAGTCCTGTGGTTGCTGGGAACACCAACAGCCTTCAAGAAATGTCAATGATGTTTAGATTACAGGCATTACATTGACATCCAAAGTGACACACAGTGCAAAAATTGCAAGCGTGGAATAAGCTTCAGTTTCAGGATAGCTCAAATAGAGTATAAGGCAACGATAGCTCATTGCTGAGTCAGCCAAAGATAAGCATTTGTAGCAGCGAAGTGTAATTCACACTTACAGTATGTGTTCTGCTCTGTTGAGCAAATTTCCATAGGAATAGAAATCTGTCATTTTAAGAAAGTTGCTGTTCTTTATAGTCAGTGTTTGATATATGCAAACGAGCATCTGTCACATCTGGAGCCATTCTGAAATCTGAAACTAGGGAAACTGTGATATTCCTTAGGATAAAGGAGTAGTTCAACATTTTGGAAAATAGGCTAATTGGCTTTCCTGTCAAGAGTTACATACGAAGATCGATGCCACTCTCAAGTCTGTACGTTAAGTATAAGGCTACAGCCAGAAGGGACTTAGTTAAGTTTAGCATCAAGACTGGAAAATGGGGGAAACAGCTAGCTCAGCTGGCTCTGTGCAGAGACAACAAAATCTGAATAGACTTTGTTTTTTGCAAGGATTAAATGAAAAATATATAAGGTCTTATTTGGCCACATTTGAAGGCCCTGCTAGCTAGATTTTGTTACCCCCCTGACAGCCATGCTAGCTGTTTCTCCGTGTGTCCAGTCCTTAGGCTTAGCTAAGCTAACTGGTTGCTGGCTATAGCATTGTATTCACCAAACAGACATAAGTGTAGTATAAATCTTCTGATATAACTCTCAGTAAGAAAGTATATAAGCTTATTTTTTTTAACTAGTCCTTTACAAATCCTCTCTTTTGTTCTTTAATTTGAACTTAGGGAAATTAGTTGCACAATATAGTGTGAGGTCAGGGTGTCCCCTCCATGAGCTTAGAGAGATGTGGATCTATCACTCTCGTCACAGCTCCGGACTCTTGTCACCTCACTGACACTTCATGGTTCACAGCTACTTTGAGAGCAGGTGCCCTAGGATGTCTCTCTTTCAGTCCGGTATCCCTGGAACTTTGGTGCCTAAAATGCGGTGTTCTTGGATGCAGGCAATCTTTCAGATTTCAGGTCAACACAGGTGCACGTCAGAACACAGAGAGAAAGAAAGAGAGAGAGGGAGTAGAATAAATCATTCATTCTGACAGAGCACTTTTCAGCGGCAGTTTTACAGCTCTCTAAAGGAGGGGGCTAAGGTGTGCTGAGGTGTGTGTATGTGTGTGTGTGCTGAAGGAATGCTACTTGCTGTCAGTTGAAAAAGGCTCAAGGTGTTACACACATGCATGTTTCTTTCCAGGAGTTTGCTGTTTTCCAATAAACACTCTTATACCCATGACCTTTGGGTTCAATTTATTAAATATAACAAATATTCAGATATGCATTTACAAAAGTAAAAGAACAATGAAGTCAGTTATAAATATATCATGTGTTTCAAACTGCTTTACATAGTCATAGTTTTTGTGTGCAGCCAGGTGTTGTATGTAGATTTCAGTAAGACTGATAATAATGATACTTCCTCTACAGATAGATAACAGAGGCTGCAAACAGAAAGGAAGGAAATTGTATAGTGAATACCAGCATATAGATTGATGGTATTTACGGAGTCTGTGCTGATAAAAATAGAGCAACAGAATCTCATGCACACATTTGAGGGTAAGCCATACAATAGTTGGACTATCTCTCAGCAGTTGTACACACACTATATGCACATTTTATGCATTCAATGATGTCTTTGAGTACTTTCCAAAAGTGTTTAGTTCAGTCCTCACTCGCTGTCATTTTGTTGTGGCAACCTCACATATTGTTCCACTGCCTTAAGCAAAGTGCAGGATAAACATGTACAGCATGTGTGCACACAGGCAAAACAGCATCACACACACACACACACACACTGAAACTCCTTTTCAGGTCAGGAGGAATCAGGACCCAAATTAAATGATGTGCCCTGTGCTGAAACACACAGGCTCATTCATGTTCTGTTGCAATATTAAACTCCTGGTGGTCATGTGAAGATCCAAAACAACAAGTCCATGACCCAGTTTATGTCTCCACCCACTGCTTAGCAGGGAATCTCAGGTACAACTACATTCTTCGAAATACTTAATCATTCCAAGAGTGTTTGCTGATTACGAATCTGCAATACTGAGCAAATTATCCTGCTATTAACACTGGAAGCTTAGATAACAGCTATATTTGGATAAGACACGGCAATGACTGTATAAATTAGTCAGTAAGATTTACAGCTCATAGGTCTGTGATGATTTGTAATAGTTATTTTTTGAGAAGGAAGCAAGCGTGAAGTATGTTTCTTAATTAGTAAAAATACAAAGTTTCGTCAAATAAATGGAACAAAAAAAAGGCTATTGTGTGAGCTAAAGTGGACCAGCTGCTAATGTAAAAGTCCTCAGGGAAAAATAGTCATTATTCTTAACAAAAAGTATAATTACAAGCCTACGTTTTGAAAAAGAATCTCAGGTTAATTTTTATAAATTAAGCTGTGAAACAAATTTAATCGATAGGTGGTGGTTATCACTCAGACTCATTGTAGACTCACTCTCATTGTAGTTGTATTTTGTTTTTGTTAAGGGTGAGGAGCTTGACACTTCCTCTAAAGTTATAACACATAAGAGAGTGAGTTGGTAAGCAGGTGAGGACCACACACACACACACACACACACACACACACACACACACACACACACACACACACACACACACACACACACACACACACACACACACACAAACACACAAACACACACACACACACAGAGGAAGAGAGTGAGAGTCCACACACATGCATGCATAGTCAATAAGTATCCATTAGAAACGTTGACCATGAACGAAACATAAAATAAAAGTATGATGAACGACATGTGTTGGCTCACACTGCAGCTGTTGACTAGCTCTGTCAGGACACTGGAGTTTTCCTCTGGCTGTTGGTGTCAAGTCAGGTGGGATAAACAATAGCACTTCCGGTTTGATCTGTCAATATAAGATTCATATTAATTAATATTGCAACATGTTTTTTCAGGAGCTCAATTTCACTCTCGTTTTGCTGCCAAACAAACTATGTCACTAACTAAAACATATTATGATTTGACACGACTTTATACGATTTTTAATTAAATAGGTGTCCAGGAAATTAATACATTTTAAATATGTTTTATTACGAGTCTGATATGTAGCGTACAAGATTATTTAGCCATTATAGGTATGACATATGTATAGGAAAACCACACCTATATTTCAAAAGGATACTTTAAACAAAAATATTTAAATAAGAAATGGTAACCACCGATTAATATTGAAAAAACAAAAACAAAACAAAAAAACGTCGGTTTTAATAGTCATACACGGACCACAATGACTGATTCGTTTCCAATTTTTTGAGAGCTCACAACTGTTGTACCAAGTTAGAGAAAAGGTGAGAGATGTTTTCTCTTATGCCCACAGCTTTGCTGAGATTGGACAAGTATACACAGCAGGGCCACAGCTGGATCTCCATCAGATCAAACAGATGCAGACTGCTGACTCCTCTACAAGATAATAACACAGGACAAATAGGAGGTGTGGCACACGTAAATAGAGTGAAAGCTGCAGGATGTATTTTTTCACATAGCCTGAAAAATGGCTTATGAATTCAATAACTGTTTGCTAGACTGATGCGTAGGAGGGTTTAACTTTTGGTCTTTCCATGATATATACAGGAGTGTATACGAGTGTCGTTTTTTTTGTGGTCTCTCGTTTTTCTTGCTTTATTTTGAAAGAACGCCTCTTTTCCGGTATCATCCGGGTTAACAGTAACTGTCTTGACGCGGCACTTCTGTGTGAAAGCCCTTGTCGAGTCATCGTTAGAGAGGAGCACGGAGCAGACCGAGCCGCTGTCTGATGGCTTGAAAACAGGGAATAAGTGTGGATCACAGCGGATTTACTGCACCACACGAGCCAAGAGCCGCGAAACGGCGGTCGCAGGAGCGGACTGGATGCTGATACGGATGAGGATGTTGGCGTTCTTTGAGTGAGGCTTGTTGCCTTTTGGTAGCCGTTGCAGACCCGGGCACAGACAACACAGAGACAGACAGAAAGAAGTACCAGAGCCGCCGCGACACCAGCGAGCGAACTTGGCTTCTCTGCCCTGTGGGAGGTGTCTGTTTGTCTGCTGTGGCTCGCTGCACGTTCCGCTGACAGCGTCGCTGCTCGGACCTGCTAAGAAGGATACGGTTGTAGATTAAGTTATGTTTTTGTAAACAGCGTCTTTTTCGGGGTTTTTCAGCAACCAACTGTGGCTTTAACGTGACGCACTATACTGACATTAGTACTGTGTGTCGGAGCGGACCCCCACTGCAGAGGAGTTAAAGGCTTTTTAATCAAGTTTTTTCCTTTTCTTTTTTCTACGGTCCCAGTACAGCCCACACCGATGTAACAGGTAACGGTACAGTTTTTGTTTTATGATGACGTTTTGTCTAAATCGTGAGTGGTTTTTAGTGGCGTCTTGTTTTTGCCTGTGGGCAAAGTTAGCTGCATAGCCTGGTTTTCTTGAGTTCCTCAACAGGCTGCAGTGAACCCCTCACTGCACGGTTTGCTGCTCAGTTTTGCCACAAAGCTCCACGGTTCAGGACATTCAGCAAAAAGCTTGCACCCTTTCCAGTTAGTAACTTGCAACCTATATAATATTAATATTATCACGTAACTTAGAGATACATTTTGTCATGAGTTAACCTAAAAGCCCATTAACTTTGACTGTAGCTGAGGAGTCTCGTGCCTCCTGTGTTCATTTTAACAAGACGAATATATTTTTTTCTTTAGCTTTTAATGACCGGAACTCAACAAATGTAATTAATTTCTTATTATTTGCACGGAGAAAATCTTGACAAAACCTTCATATTTTGTTAATATTTTTGATACTTAATTCTGTATCATTCCTTGGCGTTTTTTTAATATTAGCCATCTACTTATTTTTAAAAAAAACAAGTATGACCATCAAATATTGGCAGTTACATGTGGCCATGAGCCTAACATCGAATAACAGGAAAAAGTGTTTTGCTTTTCGAATATTTTACACAACTTAACATTGTATCGTTGAGTTAAATTAATATTCATATATTTTTGTTGCAATATATTTAAACATTTCAGTGATATCGGCTATGCTAGCAATGCTAATTTCAGGTTATTGAAGGGTTGTCCCTTAATTGGTCGTTGCGGGACACCTGTGATGATAATGATGTATTTGTAATGCCAAAATCAGCCACTATTTTTGTCAATTTGAATATTAATGTTGTTGACTCGACCTTTAAATCACAATTGTCTATTATTGCTGTTAGTATAGATTATAGAGTATAGATAAGAAAATGTATTTTCAATTATTTACTATGTATGTTCTTTTTACTGGCTGCCCTTATGTTAAGTCAGTAAAAGCTATATGATTGTAGAAGCACAAAGCCTCTGCTCCTGTTACACCTAACAACATCCCCCTAGCTGTTGTAAAATCACTGTAAAAACATCTTCTCATGGCTCATTTCTTAAATAAGATACATGTCATAATAACAACCATAGAGAGACAGATGTTTTTCAGGTGCAATGATCTCAATTAATGTCCCCTCAATATCCCTTTGGGGTTATTAAAGTTATAAACAGTATGATATATCTATCCAATTCAGGTCACAGATACAGTTCGGGCACTGGGAGTGTACGGCTGTCCAATCAAATATTTAGATCTGAGAATTTTTTTCTGTGACTTAGATGAAGCACACCCTGTAATACACTTCAGTGAGTACCGCTGTTTCATACATAAGTCATCAGTCTAGTCTCTTCAATTGGTGTCCCTGTATTGTGTAATATATTACCTCATTGATCATTGCAGGTCCTTTCTATACAGTCTACACCTGGACTGGAAGTTGAGACATCTGGGTGAATAAATTACTTCTCTTAACCTCTAGGGCATCCAGGTGCCATTACAGGCAAAATAGGTCCAGGCTCCATAATCTGAGGGATTGTTTCTGACACAATTTAAAATCACACACACACAAATAATAAAACAACATATAAAGCTGCAGAGGGCAGATTTTTGTTTCTAAAAACCAAAGATTCTACCTGATGGCTTCAAGGCACTGTGACCTTTTCATCACTAATCCTTCACCCACTTCCCTTGATTGAGACAATATTAGTAGCCTGTGTGTGGCTCCTAATAGGAAACCGTCAGAATGAATCAAACTCATATTCCATGCAAAGAAAACTTCACAGCTTATCAACATGAGATCATCTTTGGCTATCTTGCATCTTTTGTAGCATATGCTTTCATATGATGTGGTCACACATCTTCTGTGTTGTTTTGATGTGAGAGTGGTTTGTACAGTTTTCTGTTCACTGACACACTTTGCACACAGTTGCTCAGTGCAATTTAAATCCCCATTCACAGGGGACATAATTAAAGAAAATCTATAGGACAGTTATTCTGCATGTTTTTTTGTGCATCTGTGTTGATAAGACTTGTGAAAACCTATAATGGATTGTTTTCAACATGAATTAATGTAATGATTTCTAACATCATACACCCAAGTAGCTGCTGCTCCTCTGTGCCATTGCCAGTATGATAACACTGTTATCTGTAGGATGTTAAATAAGGCAAATTGCAAATTCAGTGAACACATTTCTTACCTCCCAATAAGTTAATAAGATTTCTGTAATGAAATATCTAATGTAATATACATGTACGCTGTCCTTAGATATGCATTTAGTTTCTGTGCAGTGGTTCTATCTCTGTCACTCTGAGTGCCCCCTCCTCTCATGTTAAGCTGCTGAATTGCCACAGAGTAGCCTAACCTTGGGGTCAGCCAGGCTGTGGTGACTTTGGGCTAAATTTGGAACGTGGAGCAATTAGGCGCACACTCTACTGCATCCCTCCACTGCATTAACTCCACAGGGGCAATTGGGAGGGAAAGACTGGGGTGGGATGCAGATCTCTCTCCTGTCAATGAGCTTGAGTTGGAGATTAAAGCTTGTGCCAGGCTCAGATCAAGTCAAATGTTCTCTAATAAATCTCAAACTAAGAGTGAAGGAGTTTTTTATGGGCCAAAAGTCTGGCTAAATCTGCTAACAGCCAAATCTTGAATAATGAATACTTTTTTTAGCTTTAATAAATATGAATATTCACATTTTGGTAGGCTATTAGAAACCCCACTTTGTCATTCAGTGACCTAGTTTCACAATTTTACCATCCAAATTGCTTATGAAACAAACATCCAAATGAGGGATAGATCTCTGCTTAGTGGTCAGAGAAACTGACAGATTTGTCAACTATAACCAGACTTGAAGCAGCGTTTGGCTGGTGCTCATTTCCACCCTGCTTGTGTCACTTATATCACTGATTGTGGGCCAAATGGTGGTAAAATGTCACAGTATTTGACAGCTTGGATGTTCAACTAGGCACTTTGGCAGGGAACCAAGTATCATTTGGGAGTCCCTTGAAGGTGGTTGAGTCAGTGATGTAGTCAAGTGAAAGCAGATGCTGAATTTTGTGATGTATGGTCAGATATATAAAGAAAATATAGTTAAACCTCTCTCTTTATTTCCAGCAACAAGGACAGAAGCAGATCAAGCTGGGCCAGGCTAGGCCAGGCGTGGCCTACCTAGCCTTCTGTCTGGCCTTACCTGGCAGGCCAGCAACCTCTCCAAGGAGTCCTGCCCTCAGTGAGCAGAGGAGGCTTCAGCCTGTCCTTACAAACACTTCACCTGACCTCCAAGTCAAGCTGTAACAGACTGGATTCCAACCATATTTTGTGTTATCAGCCTTTTGGAGGCCATACTGGTCAGTTAGATCTCCAGTTCTTCCATGTCGTGGTGGTTGCTCTCTGGATGTTGGCAGCAGGATGGATTCAGGTGTTAATTTGACGAGTGTGACCTCACTGCAGTGCTTGCACTCCCCCTCCTTTGACTGCCTTTGGTCCCTTCCCTCCCAAATCTTTAAGAGAAAGCCCCTTTGCCTCTCCTGGGGCTTCCCTGAGCCCTGTATGGAAAGGCCTTGCAGGAACTGTAAGTTGTCTTGTTGAAACAAGTTGACATTGCAAAGAGGAAGTAGAAGTAATAAATCCTTGCAAAAAACTACAGAACACAACAAAGATCGCTGCAGTCAATTGATTTGATTGATTTATTTTCTGTAAGCCGTCCAATTTGCTTCTCCTGGAGTTTGATCAGAGGTTGAAGAGCTTTTCATTTGAAAAAGGAGCTTGCTGGTCAAGATTTGCACCCACAATCAGTTTACACATAGGTTGGTCTGATTACTAGTGTAAAAAATTCTTTATTTATACGTATAGAATTTCTCTTTTGTGGTCTGAGCCTCGGGGAGGAATGTCTGACAGCAACAGCAGCAGCAAAGCAGTGAAATTCATTGCCCCGCCCCCCCCCCCTTCCTCTGCCTCCCCCTGTCCATCACCCCAGACCCCTCACAAGAATGTGAACGGCTCTGCCAGTTCAGACTCGCACGTGGTGGAGAAGCTCGGCGGACACCCCGAGGTCCAACGTCGGCGCCACACAATGGACAGAGACTCTAAAACAGCCGAACACCGCTTCTTCCGTCGCAGTGTCATTTGTGACTCCAATGCCACAGCTTTGGACCTGCCCAGCAAAGCAGCTGTGATACTCACTTCACCACCAGACTGTGAGGGGCCTCCCACCTTCTTCACTCCACAGCCCTCAGGGCCTGGACCTGGGGTGCACGATGCTGAGGACAGGGAGGCCCTGAGAGGTTCATATTTGCAAAGTACAACCATTCAGCCTTGTCTTGGGCTCAGTGGGGCAGTTGCGGAGGGACATGTACAAAATGCTGAGGAAGATTTAGCTGTAAGCAGTATCACGGTTGCCGTTCCCACCAGTAGCAGTGTTGAACCTAGTGCAGACAGGGCAGTAAAAGAGCCCAGCCCGACAGTATTGGATGTTACAGACAAAACAGTAGGCAAACAGCCTGATGTCACATTGCGTCCCAGAGGGTCTGAGAACACACAGAAGGTGGGAAAAGATGGAAAAGTGATAGAACATGTGGATAGCGTTAGTAGCCCGGCAGAAGAGAAAGAGAGGGAGACAGAGGAGGAGAAAGGTATAGCGAAAGCCCGAGCAGAGCAGAGAGAAGCTGAGAAACGGGTGCAGGATGATATAGAGGAAGTAGAGACAAAAGCTGTTGGGACTTCACCTGATGGACGCTTCCTAAAATTTGACATAGAGATTGGAAGAGGGTCCTTTAAGACTGTGTACAAGGGACTGGACACGGAGACTACTGTGGAAGTGGCATGGTGTGAACTCCAGGTAAGTCCAGACTCATAAAACCTCTTTACCTCTTCAGTGTCTGTGCTATGTCTCCTCCTGTTCATCTGGCTAAGTCTTTTATTAAATGCCATGTTGTGGTTGTTGTCATCCCTGAGATGTTTGAATTGCATCCAGGTAGTGTGTTGTGTCTTTTTACGCTTTCTTGTACTGTATGTCTTATTTTTACTTTGAGATATTGAGGCTTCTATGTGAGAACTTCCTGCTCACCCAACTGGTTTCCTGTATAAATGTTCACGAAATGGGACCACAATCAGATTGAGGTTGAGATACTGTTGCAGATTACATTCTGGCTCAAAATCCATGTGTTTGCTCTCATTTTTGCTGAATTTTAGATGAAGTGTGACAAGTCTAGAAGGACCATAGTCCTTCCAACAGCCAGCAAAGTGCAACACTGGGGAAATACCAGATGTTGCCTATCAACAACATGCTTGTGTGTAATTTTAAGCAGCAGTTATGAGGTAGTTTGTGTTCTGAACTTGCTCCTTCAAGATTAATTTTGGTTTGCTTTGGATGTAATTGCACAATTCTTCTTAGGTGGTGTGTCTTGAGTTAAGGTTGAGTTTTACTGTGAGTGCATTGTGAATGCTGTTACACTGGCATCACAATAGCTGTCATATTTGTTTTCTAAAGATGCTCAAACTGTTGTTTTTCCCCATGTGTTATGGATTCCATCTCGATCTGCACTGCTCAAAAATATGTAGTTATTAAAATTTTTTTATTTTAAATTAAAATATTGACCTGTAGTTGTAGCAGCTCCTTGGGCCAAATTTGTATTTCTACGTTTATGTCGAAACACAGTTGTGAGATACAGATTTTCTCCAAGTTTTGTCAGAATCTTCTCCTTGGTTCTGCTGATTTTGCATGAGTAAAAGAACAACCTGACAAACTGAGGAGGAATGGTGCAAATCCTACCAACCACTGTAGCTGAGGCACTTCTTTTGCTGTCACATCATGGTTTTGTTTTTCATTGCTACATCCCTTCATTTACCCTGCTTTGACCCTGCAGTGTTAACGGTTGATTTGTATGTGAACGGATGCCGTGGTGAATCAGGTTACCACTACGACGTATTTCCTAAATGAGTATCAAATGAAAAAGAGGATGCCGAACAGTCGAGGCCTAAATGTAGGTTTAAACTCATGGATTTGATATTCAGATGACTCATAAATCTGCCTACTTGTAGAATGTAGGGTGATTTTTTTTATTTTTTTTTTTATTTAGGACAGTATCATTCAAAGGTTAAAGAATTGAGGTCATAACTAGAAACTTTCTGTTCAAAATCCCCTGACTGTCTGGGAAATTCAGGTTACCGAAAGTGAATGAGTAAAACTGTTGCATCCCTCACCTACTTCTCCAGGTTATGTTGCCCTTGAACAGGACGGATGACTTCCTAGCTGCTCCAGTATAGTTTCTCTGTGGCTGGAACAAGACAAGTTGTGCTGGGCAGCTCCCAATCAGCTGTCATTCTCAGTATGTAGATACATAAGGGTTAACAAAAAGGTGAAACACGAGACAGGATGGCACATAATCTACCACAGGATGCTATTGCTACATTATGGTTCACTGATGCAACTTCTGCAGTGAGTGTGTGTCAGGAAGACAGAGAGACAGAAAGTGTGAACAAGAGACATGCAGAGGAGATCAATGTATGTTGGTGGTGACAGAAAGCGAAGAAAATGGAGATTGCCTTTGCTGCTTGTCTTGTTGACAAGTAAGCACAGAGGCAGAGGTGTGTTGAGTTGCTGGAGATGTAGAATAATAAGTCTCACAGTCATATGACATCCAGGGCACTGACTGAGCTGAGGTTTTAGCAGAGGAAGAAAACAGTGACATAGACTCACGTGGAACTGCTTGTCCCAATGAAACACTGAACCAGAGAAACAAATGTACAAGATTAAAAGAAAATTGATTTTGAATCTGTTATTCTGCATTATTTCTGCAGAACGACAGGAAATTTTAGGGAGATGACATAATTAGCCACATGCTGAGAGTAATTTGTAATTTGTAATACATCAGAAATCAAGCAAGAAATGTTTTTTGACATATGAATTGAAAGGCATGGGTAACATAAGCTAGTTTTTGTGTGTTTAGTCTCTTCCATGACTGATTGATTAATTAGAATCAGAAAAAGTCAAACAAGGTGAGACAGTGTAATTAGATGTTATCTCTTCAAATCTGCACATGTTTATATTTGTCAGTGTGTGATTATTTTCTGTGGGACTGTGAGGTTGTTTTCCTGTCATCTCCATCACAAGATGTTCCTCGAGTCCTCTTGAATCCCAGGAGCTAAAATCAGCTTCGCCCTGATGCCCAGCGTCTAGGAAACGGCAGTTTGTTTATCAGAAAACAAACGTCTAGCCTCTGTTGAGTTTTTGCTCTCTGTCACACATGCCTCTTTCTTTCTCTCTTTCTGTCTCACTTGCTTGTCAGAAAGAGGAAACCTAGTGTTCTGTGTCAAGGAGGTCTCTGTCAGGACAGATCCAGACCTCAGATTGATTTTGATGGTGTGTTAAAAACTGGTTAAGTTGTAACTTGGTTAAACAATCACAGTAAACAGACTGGCAAATTTAATACGTATATGCTATACGCAGGATTACTGGAGTGAAATTTTTCATTAAACATGTGTTATATAAAGATATTGAAGGCCTGGGGTGACTCGGCTATATGCATGCAGAGACAAGTACTTTTCTATAATGCTTGGCTGTAATCCTGTGTGAGTGTGAGTGAAAGATGTCTGAGCAACTGCTGACATGTGGCAGAATGGTGGGAGTAAAGTTACATACACACACATGCACACACGCACACACACAAGACACACACACTACAACCAATCACATTCTCTCACTGGGTGGGCATGGCAACCGGAGATCTGTGGGAGTCGGGATCATCTGGAACTTGTCTGTTTTCTGTATGTGCAAATGTGTGTTTGTATGTATGTGTGTACGTGGTGTGAGTATGTTTCCATCACTTTGAGTTACTACAATATGCATATGTAAGTAACCTGTGGTTGTTTAAATTCAGTGGCCTGTTAGAGATAGGGGTTTGTGATTGGGGGGTTGTGTCTTTAAGTTATTTGGCATCTGATCCAAAGCAGGTTAACTTGTGGAATCCATAGATGAATGAAAACAGAGCAGGAGAAGGAGAAAGGAGACGGAGCAGATAGTTTACTTAAGCGTTAGTGAAGGAATAGATTGATGAATAGATAAAGGGAGAGAAGAGAAAGAGGAGGAAGGTCACCCAGTAGCTTATCTTAAGGTTCCTTGTTAGACTGGATGGTAGATGATGGATGGGAAAGAAGAGGCTGATGCAGTTCTCCTGGAATGAGAGAAAATGGACAAGGGGAAAGGTTTGGGTTCAGTTTATTCTTGAGGCAGCGAAGTTACAATAGTGTTTATTATTTCTGTGAACTATTTAAGATTATTTGAAAACCCTCAGTTGTCTTGAAACTGTTAATAGTCTCACTGGCAGGAAACAAACATCCGTTTTGGAGTACCTCTGTCTGTGTGGCTCATGAAATGGTGAAAGTGCTGAAAGATTTCTGAGATGAAACCATCACTGTGGCTTGTACAGAAAAACAGTTTTGGTCTCTGCTTGAAATGCGAAGCACTTGAGGACGGCCGTGAGCTGTTATGGTGAAGCACACAATCAGGATGTCCCCCAAGTCAGTGGCAACAGATTTGCATATTGTACAAACTCCATGAAGCTGAGATAAAGTTAGAAGCCTGAGTCAACTAAGAGGTAAAAAAGAAGAAGAAGGGAGAACATAGGGAGGGGAAGGAGGAAAATGATGCCCTACAAGAGGGCAGAGATGGAGGAAGGAGGGTTAAAGGTCAAAGTTCAGCCTGTTGTGTTAGAGGCGATCACTGGGAGCCTGCCTAGCATCCATTCATTCCTCTGGCTGAAACAGATAAGTAAAGAGCCAAATGGAGATAAAATGGGACAAATGGCAAAACCAGAAATGTTTAGTCTTAGAGAACGTTTGGTTGACAGGTGGTTGGCGGATGGGAGGAGGAGCATGAAGGCAGCTAGAAATATCAGGAGCTGGGGTTTGAGGAAGAGGGAGGTGAATGCGGAGGGAGTTCAATGAGAGAATAGAGAAATGGGAAACATGGGGAGGAGGGAGGGAGGAAAAGTGGGAGAGAAAAGACAAAGTGAAAAGGGGGAGGAGGAGAGAGAAGCGGGAATGGAACAGAGGAACTGAGGACGAAAAGAGGAGGGACCCTGTGTGTGTGTGTGTGTGTGTGTGTGTGTGTGTGTGTGTGTGTGTGTGTGTGTGTGTGTGTGTGACCTTAGGCTCTTAGTTCTACTGGCACTCAAAGACCTTGAAATTTCTCTCTCAACAGCAACACAAGGCGGATTAGCCCCCTCCCCACACACACATATACAAGCACACACACACACTTTTGGGGCTCCAAGGCCTCTCCTTCAATAACGGTTATTCAATCAGAGCCATAAGAGAGAAACTGATCTCTGAGCTCAGACAGCTCTGTTGGTGTGATCAAGTATTGCACCAATGTAGAATATTTGTGTGTTTGTGATTATAAAATCATATGTAGATTTTATTTCACAATTTCATTATCATTTTATGTTGGTAAATATCACTGTAGTACCACAGAATAGACATAATGAGTCCTGTTTAACGGGGGTAATAAATATGGCTCACAGAGTCCAATTTTAGCATTGCTGCACTTTGTTGATAGTGATGACCCATTTTAACCTGGTACTGGCCTGAAATCTGTCCACGTGTTGGTGAAAGGACAGAGGGAGGCAGAAAAGATCACATCGGAGGCACAAAATATGGGGAGCAAGAGGCAGAAAGAGGACACAGAGATGTTTGTTGAGATTGATTCTATCAGGCATTTGGGAAGACTTTGGGAAGTGTTATTTCCCAAAGTAATTTTCCACATTCAAATTATGCTTTTGGAAATAGTGAGTGAGCTGGAGATTATGTATATAAATACATGTGTATGAAAAAGAGAAA